GTTGGTGAATAAATTAGACACGCAGATTACATTCACCGCTTCGGCATCAGAAACTTCCTCTTCGTCTTCTTCAATCTTTGCATTTGCTGATTCTTTAAACAGTAAAAGACAAAGCACAAAAACAAAGTGTACGGAGAGCCAGGGACTTAAACCCATGGATTTACAGACATTTTGGCACAAATGAAAGCCACAAATGAAGCGAAGATGGAGAAAAACTAAGACAAATCCTGCAGAAATGATCCAACCTCTTTCTCTTCTTCTTTAAACATATGGAGCGTAAATCCAGCAGATAAAAACACTTAACGTCTCCTTCGTGGCGTCTCCAGAGCGGCCCCCCCCCAAAGTGAGACTGAGGCATGAAAGACCCCCCACAGAGACCGGGGACCCTCTGACTGTGAGTGTTCCCGCCTCAGCCTCGCGCCGCCGCTGCTGCTGAGTGTGTTTTAAGGCGACACATGTATTATTGGTGAAGCAGACTGCGCCATTTCCATTCTCCCCTGAGCTGCACAGGAGCATTAGCATTTCAGTCTCACACACCCCCCCTCACCCCTCTCACCCCTCACCCCTCACCCCCCTCACCCATTAATCTGCTCTTTTCCAATACTTCTTTAACTGATAACAGTCGTTCCTAAATCTTGTTATTGTTTTCATTTTGATGTCCCGCCCTCCACCGTTTCACCAATCAGAAAGTCTGTGATCCGGGCACCAGAACTCACCGCGTGGAGCTAATCTCACTGGTAAAATACCATGTGGCGCAGAACTAGAAAAGGTCTCGTTATGATTCTCAAATCATTAACGACAAAACAAGGAATAAAACCAGGATTTCTATCTTTGTGAAAAAGGTGTTGGTTATAGATTTGTTGTTGACAAAACTCTTGTCTATTCAGCTGTTATGGTCCCAGCTGGATTCGTCTGCATATCTGGCAACCTGAGTCAGGGAGAGTGGGAGAGGCTGCAGTACCACTGTTGGCCACACGTTTACAAACTGCTCCTTCTTATCTGTGAGACAGGACGACAAATGTAAAAAGTGAAGTATTGTCATGACCTGGTGACTTCACCAACGCAGATTAGAGAATCAAAGCTAACTCACTGGTGTTGGTCGATAAGAGCAGAGACCACTGTCCTTTCATATCTAGTTTCTTGGAGTTTGCATGTTCTCCATTTGTCTGTGTAGGTTTCCTCCAGGTGCTCCAGTTTCCCCAACCAGTAAAAACATGCACAATAGTCTGAATGTAGTGAGTGGAGGGTGTTTGGTCGGAGGCTCTGGTGGACCAGTGTGTTCAGGTCTGTGTTCTGTCACCGTGTGGAGAGAATGGAAGACAATCTGAAATAAACATGACTTTCTCACTAAAGCAGGATATAAACTCAGACGTTGCAGGAAACGGCCGTCGTCACAGACTCAGACTCAGAGACGTTGGGTTTGACTTTTTGGCATCAACTGTTTTTCACTTCGTTAAAAAGAAAGTTTAAAAAATCCATTGTTTTCAGGTCTTTTTAGATCAAAGCCAACGGTGACTGACAGCTGTCAATCATCCACACATCACTAACTCTAGAACTATTTTAAGGAGCATCTTCTGAAGTATCGACAAAACAGAAGTCATTTGGTTTGGACTTTATTATTGCATTTCCTCAGTTTGATTCTCTGATACACACATACATACTACCTACACACACACTACCTACACACATACATACAATACACACATACAATACATACAATACATATATATACACACATACATACTGTACATACATGGATAGTGTCACTGTGTGGATTTTTTTATTTTACACAGACGTACTTGTGGACTGTAGCTGTGGACTGCAGCTGTGGACTGTAGCTGTGGACTGCAGCTGTGGACTGCAGCTGTGGACTGCAGCTGTGGACTGCAGCTGTGGACTGCAGCTGTGGACTGCAGCTGTGGACTGTAGCTGTGGACTGCAGCTGTGGACTGCAGCTGTGGACTGCAGCTGTGGACTGTAGCTGTGGACTGCAGCTGTGGACTGTAGCTGTGGACTGCAGCTGTATATTTTGCCTGAGCAGCTGTGGATCCTCTCGGTGTGTTCAGAGAAAAGAAGGCGCAGATGTTCTTTGGGTCGAGGCCACGGAGAGACTTAGAGCCTGAGCTTTAAGTCTTTTCTCTGAGACCGAGACTAACGTGAGAGGACTCCCTGGTTTAAGGGACTCGAACTGAGACTGTTCTGGTCCAAACTCATGAATCAGACCAAACCAGACTTATCCTTGTGTTTCTGGGTCATCATGGATCAGACTAAAACATTCAAAATCAGTCAAATCTGAAGCTTTTAAACTTATAAAAAACATTTGTCTCTAGTAAGTTAGACTACTGTACCAGGGACTCTGAGGAGCACAGGGACTGGCCTCCTGCTGGGACTCTGAGGAGCACAGGGACTGGCCTCCTGCTGGGACTCTGAGGAGCACAGGGACTGGCCTCCTGCTGGGACTCTGAGGAGCACAGGGACTGGCCTCCTGCTGGGACTCTGAGGAGCACAGGGACTGGCCTCCTGCTGGGACTCTGAGGAGCACAGGGACTGGCCTCCTGCTGGGACTCTGAGGAGCACAGGGACTGGCCTCCTGCTGGGACTCTGAGGAGCACAGGGACTGGTCTCCTGCTGGGACTCTGAGGAGCACAGGGACTGGTCTCCTGCTGGGACTCTGAGGAGCACAGGGACTGGCCTCCTGCTGGGACTCTGAGGAGCACAGGGACTGGCCTCCTGCTGGGACTCTGAGGAGCACAGGGACTGGTCTCCTGCTGGGACTCTGAGGAGCACAGGGACTGGTCTCCTGCTGAGACTCTGAGGAGCACAGGGACTGGCCTCCTGCTGGGACTCTGAGGAGCACAGGGACTGGTCTCCTGCTGGGACTCTGAGGAGCACAGGGACTGGTCTCCTGCTGAGACTCTGAGGAGCACAGGGACTGGCCTCCTGCTGGGACTCTGAGGAGCACAGGGACTGGCCTCCTGCTGGGACTCTGAGGAGCACAGGGACTGGCCTCCTGCTGGGACTCTGAGGAGCACAGGGACTGGTCTCCTGCTGGGACTCTGAGGAGCACAGGGACTGGTCTCCTGCTGGGACTCTGAGGAGCACAGGGACTGGCCTCCTGCTGGGACTCTGAGGAGCACAGGGACTGGCCTCCTGCTGGGACTCTGAGGAGCACAGGGACTGGTCTCCTGCTGGGACTCTGAGGAGCACAGGGACTGGTCTCCTGCTGAGACTCTGAGGAGCACAGGGACTGGCCTCCTGCTGGGACTCTGAGGAGCACAGGGACTGGTCTCCTGCTGGGACTCTGAGGAGCACAGGGACTGGCCTCCTGCTGAGACTCTGAGGAGCACAGGGACTGGCCTCCTGCTGGGACTCTGAGGAGCACAGGGACTGGTCTCCTGCTGGGACTCTGAGGAGCACAGGGACTGGCCTCCTGCTGGTCCCAGAGTCAGGACTAGACAGGAGGAGGCAGTGTTTCAGATTTATGCTAAAATCTAGAACAGTCTTCCTGAAAACGTGAGACAGACGTCCTCTCTGAGTTCACTTCTGTTCATCTGTGAAGGATTGTATCTTTACTCTTTTTAATTGTTCTGTGTTTTTTTGACTGTTTCTTGTTCATGTGAGTTATGTATAAACTGTGCTATATAAATAACTTTGCCTAAACTTCTTTTCTCCTGTTCTCTTCAGTGACTGTCGGACTCTTCTTCGAGCGGCTGGACTTACAAAGAGGAATACTCTCGACTCTTTCCCACGCGTGGATTACACACCTGTGGATTTACTTTTTCTGTGGATGTTTTGAGCGGGCGGGACGTCTGTAGGAGTGTGTTTTCTCGCCCCAGTGCTGCCCCCTACTGTCCCCGGAACACAGTGCAGGGACATGTTCCAGTTACCATGCACATCAGCACGTTGACCTGCCTCCCCCGGCCCTCCCCCCGCCGCCTCCTGCTGCTCCTCGCCGGCCTCCTCTTGGTCACCGGTCCTGAGAGCGTGGGCGGGGCCGGCTCCTCCCCCTCCTCCGCCGCAGGCCAATCGTGTCCTTCGCTCTGCACGTGTTCAAACCAGGCCAGTCGGGTCATCTGCACCCGGCAGACTCTGGACCAGGTCCCACAGAGCATCTCGGTCAACACCAGATACCTCAACCTGCAGGAGAACTCCATACAGGTCAGGACGCCCACAGCAGTCAATACGACTGGTCAGGACGCCACAGCAGTTAATACGACTGGTCAGGACGCCACAGCAGTTAATACGACAGGTCAGGACGCCACAGCAGTTAATACGACTGGTCAGGACGCCACAGCAGTCAATACGACTGGTCAGGACGCCACAGCAGTCAATACGACTGGTCAGGACGCCACAGCAGTCAATACGACTGGTCAGGACGCCACAGCAGTCAATACGACTGGTCAGGACGCCACAGCAGTCAATACGACTGGTCAGGACGCCACAGCAGTCAATACGACTGGTCAGGACGCCACAGCAGTTAATACGATTGGTCAGGACGCCACAGCAGTCAATACGACTGGTCAGGACGCCACAGCAGTCAATACGACTGGTCAGGACGCCACAGCAGTCAATACGACTGGTCAGGACGCCACAGCAGTCAATATGACAGGTCAGGACGCCACAGCAGTCAATATGACAGGTCAGGACGCCCACAGCAGTCAATACGACTGGTCAGGACGCCACAGCAGTTAATACGACTGGTCAGGACGCCACAGCAGTTAATACGACTGGTCAGGACGCCACAGCAGTCAATATGACTGGTCAGGACGCCACAGCAGTCAATACGACTGGTCAGGACGCCACAGCAGTCAATACGACTGGTCAGGACGCCACAGCAGTTAATACGACTGGTCAGGACGCCACAGCAGTCAATACGACTGGTCAGGACGCCACAGCAGTTAATACGACTGGTCAGGACGCCACAGCAGTCAATACGACTGGTCAGGACGCCACAGCAGTCAATATGACAGGTCAGGACGCCACAGCAGTCAATATGACTGGTCAGGACGCCACAGCAGTTAATACGACTGGTCAGGACGCCACAGCAGTCAATACGACTGGTCAGGACGCCACAGCAGTCAATACGACTGGTCAGGACGCCACAGCAGTCAATACGACTGGTCAGGACGCCACAGCAGTTAATACGACTGGTCAGGACGCCACAGCAGTCAATACGACTGGTCAGGACGCCACAGCAGTTAATACGACTGGTCAGGACGCCACAGCAGTTAATACGACTGGTCAGGACGCCACAGCAGTCAATATGACTGGTCAGGACGCCACAGCAGTCAATACGACTGGTCAGGACGCCACAGCAGTCAATATGACTGGTCAGGACGCCACAGCAGTCAATACGACTGGTCAGGACGCCACAGCAGTTAATACGACTGGTCAGGACGCCACAGCAGTTAATACGACTGGTCAGGACGCCACAGCAGTCAATATGACTGGTCAGGACGCCACAGCAGTCAATATGACTGGTCAGGACGCCACAGCAGTCAATACGACTGGTCAGGACGCCACAGCAGTCAATACGACTGGTCAGGACGCCACAGCAGTTAATACGACTGGTCAGGACGCCACAGCAGTCAATATGACTGGTCAGGACGCCACAGCAGTTAATACGACTGGTCAGAGGACGCCACAGCAGTTAATACGACTGGTCAGGACGCCACAGCAGTTAATACGACTGGTCAGGACGCCACAGCAGTCAATACGACTGGTCAGGACGCCACAGCAGTCAATACGACTGGTCAGGACGCCACAGCAGTTAATACGACTGGTCAGGACGCCACAGCAGTTAATACGACTGGTCAGGACGCCACAGCACAGCAGTCAATACGACTGGTCAGGACGCCACAGCAGTTAATACGACAGGTCAGGACGCCACAGCAGTCAATACGACTGGTCAGGACGCCACAGCAGTCAATACGACTGGTCAGGACGCCACAGCAGTCAATACGACTGGTCAGGACGCCACAGCAGTTAATACGACTGGTCAGGACGCCACAGCAGTTAATACGACTGGTCAGGACGCCACAGCAGTCAATACGACTGGTCAGGACGCCACAGCAGTCAATACGACTGGTCAGGACGCCACAGCAGTTAATATGACTGGTCAGGATGCCACAGCAGTTAATATGACTGGTCAGGACGCCACAGCAGTTAATACGACTGGTCAGGACGCCACAGCAGTCAATACGACTGGTCAGGACGCCACAGCAGTTAATACGACTGGTCAGGATGCCACAGCAGTTAATACGACTGGTCAGGACGCTCCCACAGCAGTTAATACGACTGGTCAGGACGCCACAGCAGTCAATACGACAGGTCTTGGTGTGATCTGTGTGTTTAGTTCACAACATTAAACCTTTACTCGACTCTTTCCGTTTGGGACGATGGAGGAATGTTCACTGTAAAAAGAACATGTCATAAATACTTAAATCCAGTGTTTTTATCTTAATCTGACACTTTCTGTTCAAACCAGAGTCATTTAGTCTGATTAAACTGTTAATGTCCTCATGACACATTTCTTTATAAAAAAAAGTTTTGTTTTGTTCTCATTGGAGAATCTAGTTTTGTCAAATTTAAGACTTTTTAAACTTATTTTTCATGAGTTTTTGCAGTGTAGTAGTTGTGGGAAAAGTTAAGTGCCCGAGCTTTGCGAAAAGACTAGCAGTCAATACGACGGCTGTTAGTTTTGGAAGTGTAGCTACAGAGTGGAGGTTTTTGCTTTTCCAAATACTGTGACTTTCTATTTTTAGTTTTTTTGAATCATTATTTTTAATGACAGAAATGTTTTTATTTTTTTTTTCTTGGTAAACTATTTTCTACGGCAGCTTAATCTCCTTTTTCATGGATCAGTCCAGGACCAGTCCTAGACTGATCCTGGACTGATCCTGGACTGATCCTGTTCTGGTCCTGGACTGATCCTGTTCTGGTCCTGGACTGATCCTGGTCTGATCCTGGACTGATCCTGGTCTGGTTCTGGACTGATCCTGTTCTGGTCCTGGACTGATCCTGTTCTGGTCCTGGACTGATCCTGGTCTGGTTCTGGACTGATCCTGGTCTGGTTCTGGTTCTCAGCCAGATCATCTTAATTTCCACCAAAAAAGAGCCAGTACTAGTTACCGTAGCAACACACTGTTTACTTGCAGCAGTTAGCATAAAATGTTAGCATTAGCATTTCACCAAACTGTTTTAGTTTAGTTTAAACTATAGAATTGTTTTTAAGGCTTGGAAAAAGTAAATAAAGGTAAAATAGGCTAGCAACAGTTAGGCTAGCAACAGTTAGGCTAGCAACAGTTAGGCTAGCAACAGTTATGCTAGCAACAGTTAGGCTAGCAACAGTTAGGCTAGCAACAGTTATGCTAGCAACAGTTAGGCTAGCAACAGTTAGGCTAGCAACAGTTAGGCTAGCAACAGTTAGGCTAACAACAGTTAGGCTAACAACAGTTAGGCTAGCAACAGTTAGGCTAGCAACAGTTAGGCTAGCAACAGTTAGGCTAGCAACAGTTATGCTAGCAACAGTTAGGCTAGCAACAGTTAGGCTAGCAACAGTTAGGCTAGCAACAGTTAGGCTAGCAACAGTTAGGCTAGCAACAGTTAGGCTAGTAACAGTTAGGCTAGTAACAGTTAGGCTAGCAACAGTTAGGCTAGCAACAGTTAGGCTAGCAACAGTTAGGCTAGCAACAGTTATGCTAGCAACAGTTAGGCTAGCAACAGTTAGGCTAGCAACAGTTATGCTAGCAACAGTTAGGCTAGCAACAGTTAGGCTAGCAACAGTTAGGCTAGTAACAGTTAGGCTAGCAACAGTTAGGCTAGCAACAGTTAGGCTAACAACAGTTAGGCTAACAACAGTTAGGCTAGCAACAGTTAGGCTAACAACAGTTAGGCTAGCAACAGTTAGGCTAGCAACAGTTAGGCTAGCAACAGTTAGGCTAGCAACAGTTATGCTAGCAACAGTTAGGCTAGCAACAGTTAGGCTAGCAACAGTTAGGCTAGCAACAGTTAGGCTAGCAACAGTTAGGCTAGCAACAGTTAGGCTAGCAACAGTTAGGCTAGCAACAGTTAGGCTAACAACAGTTAGGCTAGCAACAGTTAGGCTAGCAACAGTTAGACTAGCAACAGTTAGGCTAGCAACAGTTAGGCTAGCAACAGTTAGGCTAGCAACAGTTAGGCTAGCAACAGTTAGGCTAACAACAGTTAGGCTAGCAACAGTTAGGCTAGCAACAGTTAGACTAGCAACAGTTAGGCTAACAACAGTTAGGCTAACAACAGTTAGGCTAGTAACAGTTAGGCTAGCAACAGTTAGGCTAGTAACAGTTAGGCTAGCAACAGTTAGGCTAGCAACAGTTAGGCTAACAACAGTTAGGCTAGCAACAGTTAGGCTAGCAACAGTTAGGCTAGCAACAGTTAGGCTAGCAACAGTTAGGCTAGCAACAGTTAGACTAGCAACAGTTAGGCTAACAACAGTTAGGCTAACAACAGTTAGGCTAGTAACAGTTAGGCTAGCAACAGTTAGGCTAGTAACAGTTAGGCTAGCAACAGTTAGGCTAGCAACAGTTAGGCTAACAACAGTTAGGCTAGCAACAGTTAGGCTAGCAACAGTTAGGCTAGCAACAGTTAGGCTAGTATCAGTTAGGCTAGCAACAGTTAGGCTAGCAACAGTTAGGCTAGCAACAGTTAGGCTAACAACTTCCAAACTAGAACTCTCTGGAACTGTATGAAAACTGAACACAGAATCCTGAACATCAGCGGTGAGTGACCCAAACATAAACTTAACCTAAATCCATAATTCCATCCTCTGCAAATGTTCCTAAAATGTGCCGTATCTACTTCCGGGTTTTTCACCATCGCCTTTTCTCGCATTGCATCAGTGTTTTTGTCTGAAAACGTAAACGGTAGAATGTATAAGTATAAAGTATTCTCTGATTAACATTTAAGTGTTGATTGAGCGTGGCGAGCTCCGGAGTGGCCGGAACTACTGTCGGAGTTATCCACACATCTGAAAGACAAGCAGAGAGTGCGTTGCCAAAGGGCAGCGGTCATTATTGTTTTGAGACGTCCGTTATAGAAAATAATGACCGGTAGAACGTTTGAAATGACGTTCACATCAATGGTTCTGCTGCTGCTGTGAGGAGCTGTGATAAGTTGTGATAATTGGCTCCAAATAAAAGATCGCAGAATAATAGAATATTCAGTTGAAGATCGATGATTGACAGGAGCAAAGCAAAATAAAACTACTTAATATTTTAATACATTTTAAATCTGTTCTTATTGTGTGTATTCTGTGTGTTCTGTGTCAGTACTGGTTTTAAGGACAGTGTTTTTCATAAATGATATTTCCCTTAGATCCATAAATCCACTTCCTGTTCCTTCAGACGCCGCGCGTACGGCCTCGGCCTCGTTAATATGCAAGACGTATATTTTAATCCTCATACGGTCGTATATAATTATGAACAATTATATGTATGTCATTAAAAATAAGTGTCAGGAATAACCTTGGGAAACCTTCCATTTTACAGCACGCTCTTAAAACCACCGCCTTAAAGCTGTCGTTAAAGTTATGTCCAGAAGTCTGGGTCTCATAGAAGGATCCAGAAGTCTGGGTCTCATAGAAGGATCCTGGGTCTGGGTCTCATAGAAGGATCCAGAAGTCTGGGTCTGGGTCTCATAGAAGGATCCAGAAGTCTGGGTCTCATAGAAGGATCCAGAAGTCTGGGTCTCATAGAAGGATCCAGAAGTCTGGGTCTGGGTCTCATAGAAGGATCCAGAAGTCTGGGTCTCATAGAAGGATCCAGAAGTCTGGGTCTGGGTCTCATAGAAGGATCCAGAAGTCTGGGTCTCATAGAAGGATCCAGAAGTCTGGGTCTCATAGAAGGATCCAGAAGTCTGGGTCTCATAGAAGGATCCAGAAGTCTGGGTCTGGGTCTCATAGAAGGATCCAGAAGTCTGGGTCTCATAGAAGGATCCAGAAGTCTGGGTCTCATAGAAGGATCCAGAAGTCTGGGTCTGGGTCTCATAGAAGGATCCAGAAGTCTGGGTCTCATAGAAGGATCCAGAAGTCTGGGTCTGGGTCTCATAGAAGGATCCAGAAGTCTGGGTCTCATAGAAGGATCCAGAAGTCTGGGTCTCATAGAAGGATCCAGAAGTCTGGGTCTCATAGAAGGATCCAGAAGTCTGGGTCTGGGGTCTCATAGAAGGATCCAGAAGTCTGGGTCTCATAGAAGGATCCAGAAGTCTGGGTCTCATAGAAGGATCCAGAAGTCTGGGTCTCATAGAAGGATCCAGAAGTCTGGGTCTGGGTCTCATAGAAGGATCCAGAAGTCTGGGTCTCATAGAAGGATCCAGAAGTCTGGGTCTCATAGAAGGATCCAGAAGTCTGGGTCTGGGTCTCATAGAAGGATCCAGAAGTCTGGGTCTGGGTCTCATAGAAGGATCCAGAAGTCTGGGTCTGGGTCTCATAGAAGGATCCAGAAGTCTGGGTCTGGGTCTCAGAGAAGGATCCAGAAGTCTGGGTCTCATAGAAGGATCCAGAAGTCTGGGTCTGGGTCTCATAGAAGGATCCAGAAGTCTGGGTCTGGGTCTCATAGAAGGATCCAGAAGTCTGGGTCTCATAGAAGGATCCAGAAGTCTGGGTCTCATAGAAGGATCCAGAAGTCTGGGTCTGGGTCTCATAGAAGGATCCAGAAGTCTGGGTCTGGGTCTCATAGAAGGATCCAGAAGTCTGGGTCTCATAGAAGGATCCAGAAGTCTGGGTCTCATAGAAGGATCCAGAAGTCTGGGTCTGGGTCTCATAGAAGGATCCAGAAGTCTGGGTCTGGGTCTCATAGAAGGATCCAGAAGTCTGGGTCTGGGTCTCAGAGAAGGATCCAGAAGTCTGGGTCTCATAGAAGGATCCAGAAGTCTGGGTCTCATAGAAGGATCCAGAAGTCTGGGTCTGGGTCTCATAGAAGGATCCAGAAGTCTGGGTCTCATAGAAGGATCCAGAAGTCTGGGTCTGGGTCTCATAGAAGGATCCAGAAGTCTGGGTCTCATAGAAGGATCCAGAAGTCTGGGTCTCATAGAAGGATCCAGAAGTCTGGGTCTGGGTCTCATAGAAGGATCCAGAAGTCTGGGTCTCATAGAAGAATCCAGAAGTCTGGGTCTCATAGAAGGATCCAGAAGTCTGGGTCTCATAGAAGGATCCAGAAGTCTGGGTCTCATAGAAGGATCCAGAAGTCTGGGTCTCATAGAAGGATCCAGAAGTCTGGGTCTGGGTCTCATAGAAGGATCCAGAAGTCTGGGTCTCATAGAAGGATCCAGAAGTCTGGGTCTCATAGAAGGATCCAGAAGTCTGGGTCTGGGTCTCATAGAAGGATCCAGAAGTCTGGGTCTCATAGAAGGATCCAGAAGTCTGGGTCTCATAGAAGGATCCAGAAGTCTGGGTCTGGGTCTCATAGAAGGATCCAGAAGTCTGGGTCTCATAGAAGGATCCAGAAGTCTGGGTCTCATAGAAGGATCCAGAAGTCTGGGTCTCATAGAAGGATCCAGAAGTCTGGGTCTGGGTCTCATAGAAGGATCCAGAAGTCTGGGTCTCATAGAAGGATCCAGAAGTCTGGGTCTCATAGAAGGATCCAGAAGTCTGGGTCTCATAGAAGGATCCAGAAGTCTGGGTCTGGGTCTCATAGAAGGATCCAGAAGTCTGGGTCTCATAGAAGGATCCAGAAGTCTGGGTCTCATAGAAGGATCCAGAAGTCTGGGTCTCATAGAAGGATCCAGAAGTCTGGGTCTGGGTCTCATAGAAGGATCCAGAAGTCTGGGTCTCATAGAAGGATCCAGAAGTCTGGGTCTCATAGAAGGATCCAGAAGTCTGGGTCTCATAGAAGGATCCAGAAGTCTGGGTCTGGGTCTCATAGAAGGATCCAGAAGTCTGGGTCTCATAGAAGGATCCAGAAGTCTGGGTCTCATAGAAGGATCCAGAAGTCTGGGTCTGGGTCTCATAGAAGGATCCAGAAGTCTGGGTCTGGGTCTCATAGAAGGATCCAGAAGTCTGGGTCTGGGTGGGTCTCAGAGATGGATCAGGGGCAGGTTTAGGATCCAGAGTAAGTAAGTAAGTTTTTATTTTTTTTCACTGCACATCGGAGTCTCAAAGCGGTTTACAATTGTTATTTTTTTGGGAGTGGGGCCAGTACAGGAGGCACATGCCAGACCTATTGTACATATTTTTAGTGGTAGGGGAAACCGGAGCACCCGGAGGAAACCTACGCAGACACGGGGAGAACATGCAAACTCCATTCAGAAAGGCCCTGGTCCGACCGGGATTCGAACCCAGGACCTTCTTGCTGAGAAGCGAGAGTGCTATCCACTCAGCCACCGTGCCGCCGAGGAGAGATCCATAAAGAGTCTGGAGCAGAGAAAGCAGTGTCTGTGGAGGACCAGCTGCAGACGGCTCCACAGGCGGCGTCTCAAACTCAACAGGGAAATACCGTTTTATTTCTCTGTTATTAACCTTCGCAGACGCAACGTTTCATTTATTTTTCCGTGGCAATAAAACCGTGTCCAATAAACACGATGTTTACAACGACACGTCCGGCTTTAGCCACAAAATTACTTTTTAGAGTTTAAACACGGTCTGTTTGTTTATTCTTGGTCATTTCTTCTCATTTAGAATTTCATTTGGATTCAAACAGACCAGAGAGAGACCAGAGAGAGAGACCAGAGAGAGACCAGAGAGAGAGACCAGAGAGAGAGACCAGAGAGAGACCAGAGAGAGAGACCAGAGAGAGACCAGAGAGAGACCAGAGAGAGACCAGAGAGAGACCAGAGAGAGACCAGAGAGAGAGACCAGAGAGAGACCAGAGAGAGAGACCAGAGAGAGACCAGAGAGAGAGACCAGAGAGAGAGACCAGAGAGAGACCAGAGAGAGAGACCAGAGAGAGACCAGAGAGAGAGACCAGAGAGAGACCAGAGAGAGACCAGAGAGAGAGACCAGAGAGAGAGACCAGAGAGAGACCAGAGAGAGAGACCAGAGAGAGACCAGAGAGAGACCAGAGAGAGAGACCAGAGAGAGACCAGAGAGAGACCAGAGAGAGACCAGAGAGAGACCAGAGAGAGACCAGAGAGAGAGACCAGAGAGAGATCAGAGAGAGACCAGAGAGAGAGACCAGAGAGAGAGACCAGAGAGAGACCAGAGAGAGAGACCAGAGAGAGAGACCAGAGAGAGAGACCAGAGAGAGACCAGAGAGAGACCAGAGAGAGACCAGAGAGAGAGACCAGAGAGAGAGACCAGAGAGAGACCAGAGAGAGAGACCAGAGAGAGAGACCAGAGAGAGAGACCAGAGAGAGAGACCAGAGAGAGAGACCAGAGAGAGACCAGAGAGAGACCAGAGAGAGAGACCAGAGAGAGACCAGAGAGAGAGACCAGAGAGAGACCAGAGAGAGACCAGAGAGAGAGACCAGGGAGAGACCAGAGAGAGACCAGAGAGAGAGACCAGAGAGAGAGACCAGAGAGAGAGACCAGAGAGAGAGACCAGAGAGAGAGACCAGAGAGAGACCAGAGAGAGACCAGAGAGAGACCAGAGAGAGACCAGAGAGAGACCAGAGAGAGACCAGAGAGAGACCAGAGAGAGAGACCAGAGAGAGAGACCAGAGAGAGACCAGAGAGAGAGACCAGAGAGAGAGACCAGAGAGAGAGACCAGAGAGAGAGACCAGAGAGAGAGACCAGAGAGAGACCAGAGAGAGACCAGAGAGAGAGAGACCAGAGAGAGACCAGAGAGAGAGACCAGAGAGAGACCAGAGAGAGACCAGAGAGAGAGACCAGAGAGAGAGACCAGAGAGAGACCAGAGAGAGAGAGACCAGAGAGAGAGACCAGAGAGAGACCAGAGAGAGAGACCAGAGAGAGAGACCAGAGAGAGACCAGAGAGAGAGACCAGAGAGAGAGACCAGAGAGAGACCAGAGAGAGACCAGAGAGAGAGACCAGAGAGAGACCAGAGAGAGAGACCAGAGAGAGACCAGAGAGAGACCAGAGAGAGAGACCAGAGAGAGACCAGAGAGAGACCAGAGAGAGAGACCAGAGAGAGACCAGAGAGAGAGACCAGAGAGAGACCAGAGAGAGAGACCAGAGAGAGAGACCAGAGAGAGACCAGAGAGAGACCAGAGAGAGAGACCAGAGAGAGAGACCAGAGAGAGACCAGAGAGAGAGACCAGAGAGAGACCAGAGAGAGACCAGAGAGAGAGAGACCAGAGAGAGAGAGACCAGAGAGAGAGACCAGAGAGAGACCAGAGAGAGACCAGAGAGAGAGAGAGAGACCAGAGAGAGACCAGAGAGAGAGAGAGAGACCAGAGAGAGAGAGAGAGAGAGACCAGAGAGACCAGAGAGAGAGACCAGAGAGACCAGAGAGAGAGACCAGAGAGAGACAGAGAGAGAGACCAGAGAGAGAGAGAGACCAGAGAGAGAGACCAGAGAGAGAGAGACCAGAGAGACCAGAGACCAGAGAGAGAGACCAGAGAGAGAGACCAGAGAGAGAGACCAGAGAGAGAGACCAGAGAGAGACCAGAGAGAGAGACCAGAGAGAGACCAGAGAGAGACCAGAGAGAGACCAGAGAGAGACCAGAGAGAGACCAGAGAGAGAGACCAGAGAGAGAGACCAGAGAGAGACCAGAGAGAGAGACCAGAGAGAGAGACCAGAGAGAGACCAGAGAGAGAGACCAGAGAGAGACCAGAGAGAGAGACCAGAAGAGAGAGACCAGAGAGAGACCAGAGAGAGAGACCAGAGAGAGACCAGAGAGAGACCAGAGAGAGAGACCAGAGAGAGAGACCAGAGAGAGACCAGAGAGAGACCAGAGAGAGACCAGAGAGAGAGACCAGAGAGAGACCAGAGAGAGACCAGAGAGAGACCAGAGAGAGAGACCAGAGAGAGACCAGAGAGAGACCAGAGAGAGAGACCAGAGAGAGACCAGAGAGAGACCAGAGAGAGACCAGAGAGAGGAGAGAGAGAGACCAGAGAGAGACCAGAGAGAGACCAGAGAGAGACCAGACCAGAGAGAGACCAGAGAGAGAGACCAGAGAGAGACCAGAGAGAGAGACCAGAGAGAGAGACCCAGAGAGAGACCAGAGAGAGACCAGAGAGAGAGACCAGAGAGAGAGAGAGACCAGAGAGAGACCAGAGAGAGACCAGAGAGAGAGACCAGAGAGAGACCAGAGAGAGAGACCAGAGAGAGACCCAGAGAGAGAGACCAGAGAGAGACCAGAGAGAGACCAGAGAGAGACCAGAGAGAGACCAGAGAGAGACCAGAGAGAGACCAGAGAGAGACCAGAGAGAGACCAGAGAGAGACCAGAGAGAGACCAGAGAGAGACCAGAGAGACCAGAGAGAGACCAGAGAGAGAGACCAGAGAGAGACCAGAGAGAGAGACCAGAGAGAGACCAGAGAGAGAGACCCAGAGAGAGACCAGAGAGAGACCAGAGAGAGACCAGAGAGAGAGACCAGAGAGACCAGAGAGAGACCAGAGAGAGAGACCAGAGAGAGACCAGAGAGAGAGACCAGAGAGAGACCAGAGAGAGACCAGAGAGAGAGACCAGAGAGAGAGACCAGAGAGAGACCAGAGAGAGACCAGAGAGAGACCAGAGAGAGACCAGAGGGAGACCAGAGAGAGACCAGAGAGAGAGACCAGAGAGAGACCAGAGAGAGAGACCAGAGAGAGAGACCAGAGAGAGAGACCAGAGAGAGACCAGAGAGAGAGACCAGAGAGAGAGACCAGAGAGAGACCAGAGAGAGAGACCAGAGAGAGACCAGAGAGAGAGACCAGAGAGACCAGAGAGAGACCAGAGAGAGAGACCAGAGAGAGACCAGAGAGAGAGACCAGAGAGAGACCAGAGAGAGACCAGAGAGAGAGACCAGAGAGAGAGACCAGAGAGAGACCAGAGAGAGACCAGAGAGAGACCAGAGAGAGACCAGAGAGAGAGACCAGAGAGAGACCAGAGAGAGACCAGAGAGAGAGACCAGAGAGAGACCAGAGAGAGAGACCAGAGAGAGACCAGAGAGAGACCAGAGAGAGAGACCAGAGAGAGACCAGAGAGAGAGACCAGAGAGAGAGACCAGAGAGAGAGACCAGAGAGAGACCAGAGAGAGACCAGAGAGAGAGACCAGAGAGAGAGACCAGAGAGAGACCAGAGAGAGAGACCAGAGAGAGACCAGAGAGAGAGACCAGAGAGAGACCAGAGAGAGACCAGAGAGAGAGACCAGAGAGAGACCAGAGAGAGACCAGAGAGAGAGACCAGAGAGAGACCAGAGAGAGAGACCAGAGAGAGAGACCAGAGAGAGAGACCAGAGAGAGACCAGAGAGAGACCAGAGAGAGACCAGAGAGAGAGACCAGAGAGAGACCAGAGAGAGAGACCAGAGAGAGACCAGAGAGAGACCAGAGAGAGAGACCAGAGAGAGAGACCAGAGAGAGACCAGAGAGAGAGACCAGAGAGAGACCAGAGAGAGAGACCAGAGAAAGACCAGAGAGAGAGACCAGAGAGAGAGACCAGAGAGAGACCAGAGAGAGACCAGAGAGAGAGACCAGAGAGAGACCATGAGAGAGACCAGAGAGAGAGACCAGAGAGAGACCAGAGAGAGACCAGAGAGAGACCAGAGAGAGACCAGGGAGAGAGACCAGAGAGAGACCAGAGAGAGAGACCAGAGAGAGACCATGAGAGAGACCAGAGAGAGACCAGAGAGAGACCAGAGAGAGACCAGAGAGAGACCAGAGAGAGAGACCAGAGAGAGACCAGAGAGAGACCAGAGAGAGAGACCAGAGAGAGACCAGAGAGAGAGACCAGAGAGAGAGACCAGAGAGAGACCAGAGAGAGACCAGAGAGAGAGACCAGAGAGAGACCATGAGAGAGACCAGAGAGAGACCAGAGAGAGACCAGAGAGAGAGACCAGAGAGAGACCAGAGAGAGACCAGAGAGAGAGACCAGAGAGAGACCAGAGAGAGACCAGAGAGAGAGACCAGAGAGAGACCAGAGAGAGAGACCAGAGAGAGAGACCAGAGAGAGAGACCAGAGAGAGACCAGAGAGAGACCAGAGAGAGAGACCAGAGAGAGACCAGAGAGAGACCAGAGAGAGAGACCAGAGAGAGAGACCAGAGAGAGAGACCAGAGAGAGACCAGAGAGAGACCAGAGAGAGACCAGAGAGAGAGACCAGAGAGAGACCAGAGAGAGAGACCAGAGAGAGACCAGAGAGAGAGACCAGAGAGAGACCAGAGAGAGACCAGAGAGAGAGACCAGAGAGAGACCAGAGAGAGAGACCAGAGAGAGACCAGAGAGAGAGACCAGAGAAAGACCAGAGAGAGAGACCAGAGAGAGACCAGAGAGAGAGACCAGAGAGAGAGACCAGAGAGAGAGACCAGAGAGAGACCAGAGAGAGAGACCAGAGAGAGACCAGAGAGAGAGACCAGAGAGAGAGACCAGAGAGAGAGACCAGAGAGAGACCAGAGAGAGAGACCAGAGAGAGAGACCAGAGAGAGACCAGAGAGAGAGAC